TCGGTGAGCAATTGTTTTGCTTTTCGGAAGGCGGTCTCTTGGACATCCTCGTACTGTTCCTCGTCACTGGCCGCAAATTTGTTATTGCCCTCATCATCGTTGGAGAGATTGTCCTCATCCGATGAAATAATTTCATTTGCCAGTTTCGCTTGTCGTTTTGATACTTTGAATGCTTGTGGGAGCTTTCTTTTGAGCTAAAAATGAGCCAATAGAGAGATACAACTGTGAAAATCAGCAAGAAAAAAATTAAGAGTTCTCAAATTCAGTTCTTAAAAAATCAAGTTCTTAAAATAAGCCAGTGCAGAAATGAAGTTCTTAATTCCTTAAGAGTTTTTAAAATTAATTAAGAGTTGTTAAAATTCATTTCCTCTGTTTTACATTTCTTTTATCTTAATTAATTCTATATCTCACTAAATTTTTTTTTTTTGTTACCACAGTCGTCGTATTGACGAGGTCCAATTGTTGTAACGGTAAGAAATGTATACAACTTAATGGACCGAAACGTTTCTTACCTATTATAGATATTTCTTTAGACACCTTTCCCATTTTATTATCCTTTTCCTCCTTTTCACTGTTTCTTTCTTTTCCTGATATTATCTTTTCAACCTTTAAAATGAACAGCTTAATTCGCAGATGGTAGCAATCAGGTTAACCTTGGAAGCTTAAATAGCGAGGGCGCAATAAATTATAATAATGAGAGAAGGGAAAAGGAGTGAAATAAGACGTTTCGGTCCATTAAGTCATATATGTCTTAACTCAACTCTACGACAGGACCTCGTCAGCATGATGGTCGCAGTGCTTAATGGGAAAAGAAAAGAGGAAGATGGCAGAAAGAAGCAGAAGGAACGACGATCTGACAGTGGGATTAGATGGGTGTAAAAGTGGGGTGAAGGAAAAGAAAAAGATTTTAGAAAAAGTCTAACAAAAAAGATTTAAAAAGGCCGTTTTTTCACAAAAGATTTGAAAACAGTTCATAAAACAAGGGATTTTAAGGACTTAAAAAAAAGGAAGGGACGAAAAATGAAAGGATCAATTGCAAACTTCAATCATGTAAGTTTTATTACTGGAGCTGTTACACGTAGAACCAACATCGTTACAATTCTCAGTTCTCTCTGCGGTAGTAACCATAAACGGAACAGGGGAATGAAGCGGAAAGAGGAAGATGCAAGGAACGCAAGCAGGAAAAACGCAACGCTGAAGGTCTTCAAAGAACGGCAACGAGCAGGGTTATGATGATAAAATAATACGTTAAACTGAGACAATGAGCTTCAGTGGGTGAGAATTACTCAGAGAAATGGTACCTGTTTCGCTGGCATATTGACGAGGGGTTGTCTATGCGTGTGTGTATGTCTGTGTGTGTGTGTCAGTGTGTGTGTGTGTGTGTGTCTGTGTGTTCGTCTATACCGATTTTTCATCTCGAAACCTATCAAAGCTGTGGGGCTGCGGTATGGGATCATTGGAAAGCAATTTAAACACTTCGCTGGCATATTGATGAGAGGTTGTCTGTGTGTGTGTGTCTGCATGTTCGTCTGTACCGATTTTTCATCTCGAGACCTGTCAAAGCTGCGGGGCTGAAATTTTGGGAACTTAATCTACATGCATGTACGGGCCCCCATCCCCAAAATGGGCGCTCTTACCCAAGTGTTACCCGCAGACGGGTGCATTCAGAGTAATAAACGGAATGATGAACATTTTGTTTGAAATATATAATGTAAGTTGTCTGAGAATTTTACATGTACAAAAAGGGTCAGATGAGTTTGCAGTCTTTGTGTTTCATCCCTTAGCTGTAAACACTGACAGTGTTTTGAACTGAGTACAAACATCTGTCAACGAAGCTACTGATATATTCCAGCCATGCAAATTCGTCAAGTAATGAAGCGAAGGTGCTTGTGAAGCGTTAAACATGCCAGTAACATGGCAGCTGTCTACTGGGACTAAAAAATCTGTGATTTCCAAAGCTGAATAATGAATAACCTTATTTCCGCCATTCGCACCATTGCGCTGCGTCCGATTTCGGATAAAAAACGGCATTCGTTTCCGGATTGCGAAAAAACTTGACTTTTATCGAAACACAAAAAACGAGCCTCAGATATTTCAAAAATCTGAAATAAATCTCAATATCTCAAAAAAAA